AAATAGATTGTTGAAAAACAAACTAAGACTTTTTTCTTATAGATGTCTTTAAATCAGAATTCATATGGAAATATGGTGGAAATGCAATATCAAAGCAAAAGCATCTTTCCAAAATATAAAATTTAAGGTATCCCAACAGTTTAATCAACAAAGATGTTGTGTCAAAGTATGAACTATGTTTCTCCTGGTAGCCTAAGATGAGTGTACTCTGCATTAAAAATATAATAGAAATTCTAAGGTCATCTTTATTGGCAGCAGGATGAGTCCAATAGGCTGAAATTCTCAGTAGAATCCATAGGATCAGAATCTGCCACAGCACGATGGTGGGCAGCAGCAGCTCTCCCCATACCTGCCACAACCACAGCAAGAGCCTAGACTGTCATAATACTTGCTATAGTATGAATGGAAGGTCCAGTTGAGGAGCAGGAAATTATTCTTAATTTAAATGCCATCATCACAGTCAGTGGTGCATGGGGCAAACCACAGGAATTGCTGGGCTAATCATTTAAAATAACTTTTACCATAAAAATTTACTGATTCTTTTGTTTACTTAGGAAAAGAGAGTTCATAGGATTTGGTTTGCTATTATATCAAGCATCCCATAATTAAATCATATGATTTAATAAGACATTTTTGTTCAATTTTGAAAGGCAATTACTCTTAAAATGTGATTAATTTAAAGGAGATGATCAGTTTATTATTCACTCCCCACTCCCAAGTAACAGTAGGTCTGAAAGCCCAGGGATTACATTCCCCAATATGCCTTACAAAATAAGATTATGCATCAAATTCCATCAATGAAAACATTTGAATGACATTTAGGAGCCATTAGAAGGCACTGGAGGTCCTTCTGAATCAGTAGACTAAGTGAAGACCCTCATTACCAAGCCTATTTTGCTTTGATGTCAAAATAACCTTGATGAAATCATGTACTTTTAGAGATTCCCTTCCCCTCCTTTTTGTGGCCCATGCTTACTTATACTTATTTACTTGAAATGATGTGTCCTGGTGACTTGGTGTGACAAGAGCATTCAGTTCTTTCTTCAAGTTTTAGTTTGTTGACTTTTTTTTTTTTAATTTTTGAGAGGGGGGGAGAAAGAGAGAATGAGTTGGGGGAGGGACCAAGGGAGAGAGACTCTTAAGCAGGTTCCATGCTCAGTGTCGAGCCCAACATAGGGTTCAATCTCATGACCTTGAGACCATGACCTGAGTCAAAATTAAGAGTCTGATGCCTAAGTGCCTGAGCCACCCAGGTTCCCCTGTTGGTTCATTTTCTAAAAATAACTTAAGTTTCTCAGAAGGCTGTTTAAGAATTTAGAGTTTACATATGTAGATTTGGGAATATGTGGAAGGGACAAGATAACTGAGCTGGACACAAGTCATCATTTCTGTTAGAGTGGAAATGCTGGCGTTGAGAGAATGTGTGTGTTTAGCATTTTTAGATGCTGCCAATTCGCATAGCAGTTGCGTGTTTACATGCTCACCCATAATGTTTGTGAGTTCCATTTGCTACACATTCTCAAAATTACTTGGTATTATCAGTCTCTTTAATTTTAGTCATTTTGATGGGTATGCAGTGCTCTTTTGTTGTGGTTATAATCTGCATTTTCTTGTTCTAATAAGTTAGTTATCTTTTGGTATGGTCTGCTGTAAAATACTTGTTCAGATTTTTGGCCATTTTTAATTGTGTTTTGTGTCATTGTCTAAAGATTTGCAGGCATTTTAATTTTTCCACAAACCATTTTTTTGGATATATATCATGTGATTATCTCTCTCTGTCAGTGGATTTTTCACTTTTAAAAATAGAAATCTTGGAACACTGGAGTGGTTCAGTTGGTTAAATGTCTGACTGGATTTGGGCTCAGATCATGATTTCAGGGTCATGAGATTGAGCCCTACTTCAGGCTTCTCCCTGGGAATGCGGTCTGCTTAAAATTCTCTCTCTCTCTCTCTCAAGAAAATAGAAGTCTTTAATTTTGATCAAGTCCAATTTATTAATTTTTTTTATATGGGACTCCTGGGTAGCTCAGTGACTTAGCGTCTGCCTTTGGCTCAAGGCGTGATCCTGGAGTCCCAAGATCGAGTCCCGCATCCGGCTCCCTGCATGGAGCCTGCTTCTCCCTCTGCCTGTGTCTCTGCCTCTCTCTCTCTCTCTCTGTGGCCTTGTTGATCTGAGAGAAGCGCAGACACAGGCAGAGGGAGAAGCAGGCTCCATGCAGGAAGCCTGATGCGGGACTCGATCCTGGGACTCCAGGATCACGCCTTGAGCCAAAGGCAGATGCTAAGTCACTGAGCCACCCAGGAATCCCCAAATAAATAAAATTTTAGAAAAAAAATTTTTTTATAGCTAGTGATCTTTGCCTCCTGTTGAAGAAATCACTGCCTATTTCTTATTAACCAAGACATTCTCACATCTTATTTTGGTGCCAGGTATGAATCAAGGTGATTTTCTTATATATTGTTATCAAAGTAATCTAAAATTATATGTTATGAAGTTAATCCTTTCATCTTCTACACTGCTATGATATCTCAGTAGTACACATCTGGTTACTTTGTTAAATTTGAGTCTGTTTATAGAATCTCTTTTTTTTTCCATTGGCCTTTGTCCTTTTACTTGAACCATGTGTTAGGAACATACATGATCATGTAATTTGCTGTTGATGGCAGGTCTCTATTTTCCTTTCTAGTCTCTCTTACGTGTGTGTACTTATTTATTTATGTGGTATTGCACTGGCACTGAATGACGGTACAAAGTTGTATCAAAGTGGTACAAACTTTTATTAAGTTGCGGCTGGGGTTATCCTTGTCTTGTTGCTAACCTCAGGTGGAAATTATTCTGTATTTCAGCATTAAGTATTATGTATTAGCTATTGATTTTAGGTAGATGCCATTTATCAAAATGAAGAAATTCTTTTGTAGTCCTGGTTTACTGAGATTTCAAAAAGTTCATGAATGCATGCTGAATTTTGTATTTTATCTGAATCTCTTAAGATTTTCATATGACTTTCTTTGTTTTTTCGTTGATGTGATGAATTGCACTGAGTTTTCATATATTAAACCAATCTAGGATTTTGCAATTTTGGAATACAGCTCATGGGATTTGGTTTCAAAATGATATATTGTTTCGGATTTTTATAGCAAAGTTCACCAGAAATAGTCCCTTTCTTACAATATCCTTATTAGGTTTTGATTTTGTTAGTGTTACATTTTTCCTATTCTGTGGAAGAACACTAGTATAATTGGTATTTCTGCTTTCCTTAAGTAGCTTAAATGATTCACCAGTGAATCTATCTGATCCTGGAGTTTTTGCACGGATGTCTCAAAATACAGATCAATTTTTCTTTCATAGGTATCCGAGTTTTCAGACTTTCTGCTTCTTTTCATCTCTCTTGAATGGTCTTTCTCCAGATGAAATTTCCATTTTCACATTGTTCCTTGTGTGCATGTGGAGTGAAGGAGATCTAAATCAGTGCAGAAACAAGTTGTTGTGCCTTCAAAGGAAAAATCAGAACCAAAAATACTAAAATCAGTAATGTAGAAGGAAAACCATGATCCTCTTTGTTGAAGCTGGTGTGTGCAGGGGAGGTTGGCCAGGGACTTTTTGCACGCAATTGTCAGTTACGGACACTGAGCCATCAAGCAAGAGGCATGGTAGATTTTCAGCTCTTTTTCCTCAAACAATAGAGGAGTGATCCGAAGAAGATAATATGGAAACAAATTGCCATGAGCACAGTAGCATCAGGAAACAGCCAATATTGATGTTTATATGTGAATAGTGCTGTTTCTATAAGCAATACATCACTTAAAGCCTTAATATATGAGGATGAAAATTTAACCAGATCAAATGTAGAGTATTGGAGTGATTCAGAGTCACATGAAGTATTTCAGGCAGAACTGGTGATCAGAACTTTGTCTTTTCTTTTAAAATGTTTGGTATAATTTATTTTGAAATATTCTATATAAAAAAAGTATAAGACCAGTAGACAGAATTTCTGTCTTCTTCACTCAAATTCTTCAATTGTAAACATTTCATTGCATCTACATCTCTCTCTATCCTCTCTTTTTTTTTCTCCTCTTTCTGTCTCTTTCACACACACCTTTACTTTTCTCTCTCTCTTTCTCTGTCTTTATCTATCAGACTTACACTTCTTGGGTATCACAATCCTGTAAAATGCCACTGTCCCAGATGTGGTACTAAAGATGTATCTCTTTGATGTCTCAATTCTAGGATTGAGGCTCCTTTAAACACAATTCTGCCTCATTTTCTGGCGTCACCTTTTGTCTTATAATTGGCCTGGACTTGCTGCAGATATTTTCCAACAATAGCAGAGGTAATACATAAGGCATGGGGCTACTTTTCATTGTCCTTACCTTTCAGTTGAGAGCAGACCTGCTTTGTACAAACAGAGAGAAAATTTCACTTATGCAGAGTCTAAACCAGCAGGTAGACAAGACTCTGTTTTAAGATTTTCCTAAGGTAAATGTAACAGTTTATGTGTTTGGTATTGTTCAGCATGGAGTCAGGCAGAGGGAACAAGAGACATTGGTGAGGATAAAATGAAGAACACAGTGAGTGTTGGATTGAGTGAAGTCTAGCTATGGAGTATCTATAGAGCATCCTTTAGGTAATCTGTTTTATATATATATATATATATATATATATATATATATATATATATGAATTAGTATGTTTAGTAGGTAGCAAAACATAATTTTATTCATTAATCTGAATGAGGTTTATTTTCCAGTGATCAAAAGGCTGATTGAGGGACAGAACCTGTCTGAGCCTTGCATTTTATACTGCTGTGAACAGTTTCCCTCTTACCTGACAAGCAAAACCATTTTAAACAGCATTATTATTTCACCATCCAGGTTCTTTAGATGTGTGGCTATAATAACTGTAAAGATCCCTGTTTTTTATCATGTGTCCTTAAATGAAATATAAACACCCATATGCACACTTACTCATGGTAGTGAGAATTGAATATAAACATGAAGCATTTTGCAATGAATGAGAAAGTTTATTGAAACATCAACTTAAAACTTTTTCCATATCAAAATTATTAAGTGAAAATGAAGGAAGAAGGAATACAATATCCAACATAAACATTTTTATGACTCATGAGGTATTACATGTGACTTTGGTCAATCAAGTTGAAGCATGCTGAATTTGTCATATGCTGAAGTTGAAGTACTCTTGGATAAAATTTTCACCATTGGAAAGAGAAAGAAATTACGTATAAGAAGAACCCTGGAAGGATGATTGGAAAGCACAGGAGGAGGAGTTCTGCAGACCGAATGGCTCTAGAAGTTCTCAGTAGAATCCATAGGACCAGTATCTGCCACAGCAAGATGGGCGGTAGCAGCCAAATCCATACCCACCGTAGCCCCAGCCCAGGCCACGGTAGCCACAGCCCAGGCCACCATAGTAGTTGCTGTAATAGCACATAGTGTTGAGAACGGAGGTTTCAGTTGAGCAGGTTATCGATTTTCTCAGTGTGTATGCTAACATCTGTCTTGGGCCTTTTATATACCCTCCCTGTTGGGTGTGACAAACCACAGGCAAGAGTAAGCCTCATATTTTACATTAATTTGCATTTTAACTTTCAGAAAGAAGCCCTCATAACTGAGAATCCTTTGCTATTATGTCAGGATTCCCACAATCAAAGTCAATGCTTTAACAAGCAACATTTGTTATTTTTGGAATGCCTTATTTACTATGTTTTCATTAGTTTAAGGGCTATGATAAATTTGTATGGGGAGCTAATTTTTCTTCTGTCCTTAATTATTCTTAATTTTGTTATTTTATTTTTCATCTTACAATGAAATGTGTGGTTAGGAGTGATGTTGTCTTTATGTGGGTATATGGGTTCATGAATTGAAGTTATCAATGAAACACAAAACTGCTAAATTACCTATTTGGTTTTTTTTTTTTTTTTAGGAATAAATAATTATTTCCCTTAGATAGGAATTTCCTGTATAATAAAATGGCCGCTTATATATTCCTTTGTTGTTTTAATGCCACCTCTTCTTCCACCCTGAAATTTGTAATTATTCAGTATTCTCACCTTAGTCTAGGTGATTTTACTATTGAATCATGTAATTTGCTGTTTATCTTTTTATTAATTTTTCTTTAAGTATAATAATTAAATTGTTTGGGGAGATAACCAACTTAGTGAACTTTTATGTCACACTGCTGCCAAAACCCAAAATTGGGATACTGATGAAGACTCATTCATATGTAAGTATAAATATGAGATCTTTCTAATTCTCCCCTCTCTGGACCCAGGATTTCCCTTGCCTGGTCAGTTGCCCACCAGAAGTAGCATGACCTCTGTAAAGAAAACATCCAAACTGGGGCACCTGTGTGGTACGGTCAGTTAAACCTCTGGCTCTTGATCTCAGCTCTGTTCTTGATCTCAGGGTCATGAATTCAAGTCCCACATTGGGTCTACTTAAGAAAAAAAAAAGAATTTACAAACCACTGGCCCAGTACTAGTTCTTACTGGCAGTCATCTATGTATCAGTGATGCTTAGAACAGAGATAATATCTCATTTACATAAGGTCTAGACTCCTAAAAATGCTTAAACTACACAAAAGAGTTTTTATTTCCTTAGGCAAACCCTGAAAGATATACCTTATATTACAGGCTTATGTATAAGGCATCACTCAGGAGGATAATGTACAATATATGTGTGGATTATTGCAACATTGCAATTTTATTGTGTTAAAAAGTAAGTTTCTTCTTCCTGGTTCTAAAAGATCAATCTCTTTCATGGTAATCATGGAGAAAAAATCCTGCCAGTTTATAATCCTGTATCTAATAAAAGTATCCTTCAAAATTTAATATAAAATAAATATATTTTTCCAGAGAAAAGGGGCCAGTAGACTGCATTAAGAAATACTAAAGAGCTTTCTTCAAGTAGAGAATGATCCCAAATAATAACATGGAAATTCAGGAAGTTATGAAGACCAAGGAAAAGTGAAATACATAGCTCGTTATCAATGGCTGGGGAAATGAGCTGTGGGAGTAGGGTGCTTACAAGCTGTTTGGAGGTGACAATGCCCTGGGATGGATTATAGAGACTGAACAGGGTACAGTGTCATCCATAGATCCTAGTGTGGTAGAACAGGACCTGAGCGGAATATGAAGGCTATTTAGGGAGAAGGGCAGGGTGGGGGGGTGGACAGTCCATTGCAAGATGGCAGTAGTTGAGGAAAATGATCACTAGAGAAGGGTAACGTAAGTGGTAACTATCCAGAGTAGGGCCTTGGAACCCTGATTGGATTAGGAGAGCATCTTATGATGGAGAACAGCAGGGGAGGCCCCGTTTGGGGGTGCTGGAGTCTAATCTGGTTGAGGAGAAAATTTGTCTAGTCCTGCACAGGTGATAGAGACTAAGCAACATAAGTTAGGCATCCACATGGATCAGAGGCACCAGTAACTGATTGTGGGTTGTTGGAGCACATATAGAGTGAAGAGGGTGTCTTCATAGAAGTTGTAGTATGGGATTTCATCAGCAGTGAAAATTGGTTATATATTGGAAGATTGATCAAATAAATACATAAATTAAGGGTAATGGAAGTCATTGATCATGGCTGTCATGTACAACTATGATGGACAGAAAACCAGAATGAACATTGTGAGGTTGGGCTGGAATCACAAGTATCAATGTGAATGCATGGTTTTCAAAATATTCATATAGATAGGGCATAAATATAGATGTGCATCTGCATATAATATACATATGCATATGTTTCTTAGCTTAGCTACTGAGAGGACCTGGGACTAGCACCTCCTGTGACAGTGAGCACATCTATTATCTAGACCTTCGTTTTTAAAAGTTTTGTCCAGAAAGAGGAACCAAATAAAGCACTTTGGAAAGTTGGTTGATGCCAGTGTTATAGCAGAAAAGTCAAAACATGAGATTAAACTCTTTTTGTGCCAAAAGAAATTCTCAAAAAAATGATAAGTACATGTGTCAAATGTTGTGTCAAAATGTGTCAAAATGACACAGATGCTAGCTTGAAGGGTTTCCTATTGCCCAAATACACCATGGCCTGAACAATAATTAAATAACAATAGGATTTAATTATACTATAACCATTGAATAAAATATAAATTTACGTGTATTTATGGATATAAAATAAATGTATAGGGGTGCCTGGGTGCCTCAGTTGGTTAAGAGTCTGCCTTCAGCTCAGGTCATGATCCCAAGGTCCTGGGATTAAGCCCTGAATTAGGATGCCTGCTCAGTGGAGAGTCTCTTCTCTCTCTCCTCTCCTGCTCCTCCTGCTTGTGCTCTCCTTCTCATTCTGTCAAATAAATAAATAAAAATTTAAAAAGAAATGTATAAGTAAGTGGGAGAGAAGAAAGTTTTTCCTTATAGTAAAATGCCAACTGATTACTGTATAAAGGATGATAGATTTTGAAAAAAAATCACTAATAGGTCCCCATCATACTGATAATCAGTTCAGCCAAAAAACACAAAAAGGCTCCAAGACTAGTAGATGAAAGCTTACCGAGAAATGACATATTTCTAAAAATGACTCCCCACAAAGATACTTCTTAATTCCAAAGCTAATGCGAGTATCTTCACAGTAGATAAACCCAGAGGCCACCACCATAACCAAATAATAAAGGTTAATTAACATTTCTGGGAATGGGACCATCAAAATCATGCATCATATATGTAACGGGCGAGAATACAGCTTCATTTCTGTAATATTCCTACCTCAAAGGAAGAACCTAAATCTGGCTCTGAATAAACACACACCAAAATTGTGGGACATTCTTCAAAATAGCTGGTCTATAAGCCTCAAAAATGTCAAGATTGTGAAAATTTAGGAAACACTGAAAAATTATCCAGGTTAAAGGAGGCTAATGAGATGTAGTAACTAAATACAACATACAATCCTGAATTAAATCCTTTTATGTGAAAGTCATTATTGGACAGTTGGTGAAACTAGAACATTGTCTGAATATCAAATGGTAGTAATTCTCACTGCTACATTCTTGATTTTAATGGCTGTATTGCAGTTATGAGGGAGAATGTCCTTGTTTGTGGGAAATGAATGCTTAGAGTATTCCAGGTGATGGATGGGGCATCATGTTTGCAAATCACTCTCAAATGTTTGGAGAATAAAATAATATTATGTGTTGTTTTGGAACTTTTCTGTAAGTTTAAAATTATTTTAAAGCAAAAAAGGGAAATGGGACGACTGGGTGGCTCAGTCTGTTAAGTGACCAAGGCTTGATTTCATCTCAGGTCATGAGATTGAGCCCGGAGTTGGGCTCCGTGATGGGCATGGAGACTATTTAAGATTCTCTGTCCTTCCCTTTAACCCTTTCCCCTTCTCTCTCTCTCTCCCTCTCTCTCAAAAATCTAAAAAAAAAAAAAAAAAAGGAAAATGTAAGCAAAGTCAATATGATTGTATGATTGACCAAAATAACAGGATAAAAGAGTTCACATGGCTATTCCAACAGATGCATAGAAAGCATATAATACAACTCCAGACCAATTTATAATAAAGATTTTTAAAAAACCAGAGCTAGATCAAATTTTTAATCTGAAAACATGTGCTATAAACTGTTGACTGCAAGCTTCATATTTAAGATTACATATTTGAAATGTTCCTCCTGGGATAACAAATGAAATGAGGATAACTGATAGCATGACCTCTCTATAATCCTGCCCTGGAGTTACAGCCTAATCAACGAGGCAAGAAAAGGAAAAAATATCATTTATACAAACAAAAAAATAGTATTCTCTAATTTAAAGATGACAAAAACATAAAAGGAATATCTAAATAAGGTATTAGAATGAATAAGTGAAGTTCCCAAGGTTTCTGTACACAAGGTCAACAGATAAATTAGGTAGGGTTTTTTGGTTTTTGTTTTGTTTCAGAGAGAGAGGGCAACGAGGAGAGGCAGGAGAGAGATGCAAGGTAGGTAAAAGGTCACTGAAAGAAATAGAGTCCAGAAATGTTAACAACATGCAGTCACCTGATTGATACCAAAGGTACCCTTCAGTGAAAGGAGGCAAGATAATCTTTTTAATAAATGGTGCTGTAAAATATTATTTAAAAATGTTTGTAAGTTACATTATGTACAAAAATCAATTTCAGCTAGGTTTATATCTAAATGTGAAATTTACAAATTAAATGGTGCAATCTTTAACAACAAAAATTGCTGAAATAGGATAGAAAAGGTTGGAATGCAGTTAATTAAGAACTTCTGCTCAACACAGTACAAGAAAGAAAACAAGCCACAGAGTTAGAGAAGATATTTGTAGTGTGTGTGCATTAGACAATCCAAGGGACAAAATGGGCAAATAATTTGGATCAGCACTTCATAAAAGGACTGTATCTAAATGGCAAGCAGGGAACACTGACTAGAATGTCTAAAATAAAAATACCTGAAAATATCCAGCTGTAACAAGGATGAAGAGGGACTAGAAACATCTTAGATGGAGGGATATAAATTG